TAGCTCACTGTAGCCTCAAACTCCTAGGCTCGAGTAATCCTCCTGCCTCAGCTTTCTGAGTAGCTAATAGTAAAGGCATCCGCCATCATGCCTAGTTAAAGTTTTTCAGTTTTCATAGAGATAGAGTCTTGCTATGTTGACCAGGCTGTTGGTTAGTTTTTAAATTTTGGTTTCGGGCTAGGGTCTGGCTGTACTACCCAAGCTGGTCTGAAACTCTTGGCCTCAAGTGATCCTATCTGAGCTTTCCAAGTAGCTAAGACTACAGATGCATGCCATCATGCCTGGCTAATTTTAATTATTATTATTTTTAGAGATAGAGTCTGACTGTATCATTCCAGCTGGCTTCGAACTCCTAGACTCAAGTGATCCTCTTGTGTCAGACTCCTGAGCAGCTGAGATTATAGGTTTGAGCCACCTTGCCCAGCTATGCAGGTTATTTGACCATCCATTGTCTTAAAACATTATGCCATCATTGTTGATATCCAGAAAAGTTAGAATTTGAGAAATCCTTATCTTTCTACTTCCTCTCTGCATTGTATCTGAGCTTATGTTGCTTCTTATTCACCTGAAGTCCCTGAATAACTACAAAAACTTTAATACCAAAATCAGTCAGTATCAGCTTTCTAACAGAGGACAGTATATAGAGGTCAATAGGTGCTGATGGCAGAACTTAACTGAGTACTTACAAAGGACCAGCTTCTTCATATAGTCAATGATTCGACTCTATGAGCCCCACTTTAGATAAGTACTATTATTATTCCTAATATGTAGGTAAGGAAACAGAGGAAAAAAAGGTTTAAAGTATCTTGCGCCAGGTCATCCAGCTAATAAATGACATTCTAGGATTTGAACCCAGCTTCCAGGGCCATCTGGAAACCATCCCCTAAAAAAAATCACCTCCCAGGAATTCATTGATTTTTTTTTTTTTTTCTGAGACAGGGTCTCACTCTGTTGTCCAGGCTAGAGTGCAATGGCACAATCTTGGCTCACTGCAACCTCTGCCTCCCAGGTTCAAGCGATTCACATGCTTCAGCCTCTGGAGTAGCTGGGATTATAGGCATGTGCCACCACACTTGGCTAATTTTTGTATTTTTAGTAAGAAATGGGGTTTTGCCATGTTGGCCAGGCTGGTCTTGAACTCCTGACCTCAGGTAATCCACCCACCTTGGCCTCCCAAAATGTTGGGATTGCAGGCGTGAGCTACCCTGCCCAGCTGGAACTCAGCAATTTTTTTAAAGGCCACTTATGATCTTTTCCTGGATGAGCAGAGGCTAGAAGTGTGGACCACATTGCCACATGCAGGTCCAGGGCATGGGTGAGATACCACATGCCCAGCATCCCAGTGTGAAGGTGAACAGAGGCTGCAAGTGGTGTGAGGCCAAGATCCAAATTGGCATTTCACAGGCAATGCTAAGAAATCAAGTGGACAAGGCTGGAATCACGGGAGGCGAGGTGTGAAGCCTAAACAGAGAGAGAGAAACAAGAGAACCCTCAAGAAGGGGCCAGCACAGCAGACACAGACGTAGCACAAGGAGCCCTGAAACTTCCAGTGGGCACTGGCAGGGGCTTCTGTCTATCCCTGCACTGGGACATTCAGGCTGCCACTAAAGTGTTCTTTAAAAAATGATTAAAATGGATAGGGCGAGGTGTCTCACGCCTGTAATTCCAGTACTTTGGGAAGCTAGGTGGGCGGATCACTTGAGGTCAGGAACTAGAGACCAGCCTGGCCAACATGATGAAACCCCACCTCTACTAAAAATACAAAAATTAGCCAGGCGTGGTGGCAGACTGTGATCCCAGCTACTTGGGAGGCTGAGGCAGGAGAATCGCTTGAACCTGGGGCGGAGGTTGCTGTAAGCTGAGATCACGCCACTCCACTCCAGCCTGGGCAACAGAGCAGGACTCTGCCACAAAAAAAAAAAAAAAAAAAAAAAAAAAAAAAAAAAAAAAAAAAAAAAAAAGAAAAGAAAAGAAGAGAAGAGAAAATATATTTTGCAATGTGAACCTTGAAAGGTTCTGAATGTTCACATTCCATTTTCAGAGTTCAAATGGTCAAGAAAACCTCATAAAAACAAAAACTCCAATTAAACATTTGCTGGTCAGTTTTTCTTTTTTTCTTCTGATTTGGGTCATATCACAACACTCATGTAACTAGCTGGAGTAACCATTGTCCCTGGCCTAACTCATTCTGATTTTTCCAGAGTCACAATCAGGTGACTTTTGGGCACAATGCTAGGCACTGCCTGTTTTTGGTAGTTCTAAGGTAGATGTTTTGGCGAGTATGGTGATTTGTGTCCATATTTCAGCTGAGACCGTTGCTGCAGAGGTCTTTGTCCAGCGTGATTTTCAGCTGGGCTCACACCACACTCTCAATTTACTCATTCATAAATATTCAAGCTCTGGGCTAGGTTCTAGGGATTCTAGGTCAGAGTTCCTGCCCTCAAAGAGCTCATGATCTAGGTATTTTTTAAAAATCAAGGTCAGCATGGTGGCTCACACCTGTAATCCCAGCACTTTGGAAGGCTGAGGCGGACAGATCACGAGGTCAGCAGATCGGGACTGTCCTGGCCAACATGGTGAAACTCCATCTCAATTACAATATAAAAACTTAGCCGGGCATGGTGGGATTTCCAACTACTTGGGAGGCTAAGGCAGGGGGATTGCTTGCACCCAAGAGGCAGAGGTTGCAGTGAGCTGAAATTGCACCACTGCACTCCAGTCTGGCAACAGAGCAAGACTCAATCTCAAAAAAAGTCAATAACTTCGTAATTGTGCAAACATGTAATAAATCACTCATGGTTAGACCAGAAAGCCAATCAGAAATCTGCATGTGTATACATGTCTTTGTATTTATATGATACTTATGTGCCAAGCATTATTGTAAGGGTTTTGCACATATTTAGTAATTTAATCCTCAGAAAAAAATTTCATGGGGGGCCCAGCGTGGTGGCTCACACCTGTAATCCCAGCACTTTGGGAGGCCAAGGCGGGTGGATCACGAGGTCAAGAGATCGAGACCATCCTGGTCAACATGGTGAAACCCCGTCTCTACTAAAAATACAAAAAATTAGCTGGGCATGGTGGCGCGTGCCTGTAATCCCAGCTACTCAGGAGGGTGAGGCAGGAGAATTGCCTGAACCCAGGAGGCGGAGGTTGCGGTGAGCCGAGATCGCGCCATTGCACTCCAGCCTGGGTAACAAGAGCGAAACTCCGTCTCAAAAAAAAAAAAAGTCTCATGGGGTAGATACTCATAGGCGCTCCATTTTACAGATAAGGAAACAGAGGCACAAAAAGGTGAAGTAACTTGTGTAAGACCATAGGGCTTCTGCGAAGGCATGCCAGGCAGTCTGGCTCCAAGGTTTGTTAAGTACCACACTAAGAGGCCTCTCATTCAGCTTTTGAAGTAACAACGAACATTACAGGCAACCAAAATCCTAAATGTGAATTAACTGACAGGATTTTAGGCCAAGTACAAACAGCTGTGTTCATAAAGATCTTGTGGGGGGTGGGAAGGGAAACTGGCTAATTTGTTTTGTGGTTAAAGGACTGAGTAAATTTTGTTTTATCATACCACAAGAAATTAGCCCTCATATTTTCAGTTTCTAGAATAGACAATTTGTACTTGTCACTGCTAATAACCTTGTTTAGGTTAATTAGGCACAGCAATTTCAAATCATTTATTTTGTATGAGTAATGTGGCTCTATACACGCAAGCGACAGTTTATGATTGTAGAAAACTTCCCCTCAATGTTGAAAATCTGATTTGGATAAAAGGGATTATTTTCTAAACATGCAGCAGACTTTGGGAACATTTTTATTATCTTCTGTGAATCATGCATTGCAGAATTGTTGAGCAGTTGAGGGGTCAGACTTAGGTTCAGACTATGCACTAGCACTTCCTGAACCTGTGTCCTGGTCAATTGGGGATGGTAACAGTGCCCACCTCATAAGCAAGTGAGGATTAAAAGAAGCAATGTATGTAAAAGGCATATCAAAACATGTGGCCGGATGCCAGCTGTCAGTAAATGCTTGGCATTAGGTTAACTGTTGTTGCTGGGATAAAGAATCTCACTGGAGTGGCCAAAGACCTGTGTTCTGAGACTAGGGAAAGGGAGGAAAGCGATCCAATTACTTGTCGACGTTGCCCTCAGGCTACTGAAGCCACACAGCATTCCAGGCTGTGTCTCACATGTTTCTTTAGTTAAAGAACTTCCCTTTCAAAAGATGCCGAAACATTTCCCATGTAGTCAGTTTGTCTGTGGAACTGTGTATATTGGAGAAAGGGGAAGTGTTCACCAGGATTTTCATTTTCTTCCTTTTTCTTCTGAAAAAAGGGCCCATCTGACCGGCGGAGTCGGGGGAGAACCTCGTTGTGAGGGCCTTTTCATTGTTGGGCTTATTCTGTTAACTACTCCCATATTTTTTCCTTTGGATAAATCATTCTATAAGAGGACAGTTTTGTCAATAATGCACATATTCGCGCTCCCAAAGTAAACTGAATTCTAAGTAAGCGTAACCCCGTTTTGCTGACCCAGGGGAAAGAAAGATTGGAAAATCTCCCCAGTCCAGTGAACAGGCCCTGGCCCAACAACTGCATGTGGACTCCGGGCTCGCCCACTCCGGCCGTCACGGAGCGGGATCGCGCAGCAACCTTCCCGCGGGGGGAAAACGCACCGGCCCCTCTCCCTCATCAGATAGCTCTCCGGGATTGTGCTTCCCACTTAACAGGCCTACGACGTAAAGTGCCATGGAGGTCGCCAGATCCGCCCAAGTGGAATTCTCAAGATGTTTCCCCCGGAGCAGCCCCGAGAGAGCGTCTGGATTCCAGGAGTAGCTTCCCGACCGGCTGCGAAGCCCCGGACGCCTCAGTGCACCTCGAGCTTGCGACCCCGACGGCGTGCGGAAGCTCCACCCTTCTGGGCTCTGCCCCGCCCAGCCCCGGTCTCTGATTGGCTGTCCGGCGCGTCAGTCGGTGCCCATCCCCGCCCTGCGCCTCCCCCGCCCTCCCCAGCCCGCCGCGGGGAAGACAGCCCGGGCGCCGGCGGGCGGCCGCGGCGTCTGACAGACCACTACAGACCACGGGCGGAGGCCCAGCGCCCGTCCGCAGCGCGGCCGGCATGGCGGCGCCGAGGAGCCCCCCGCGGGCAAGGGAGCGGGAACGGTCTCGCGCCCCCGCTGCAGGTGGGCCTGGGGCCGGGCGGGGCGGGGGCGCTGTCAGGGATCGTCAGGGCGGGCGGGGTCGCGGGCAGCCTGGGACGCGCCCTCCTCGGCTGCAGCCAGTGCCGCCTGTGGCGCGTGGGAGTACAGGAGCCCGGGAGCCAGAGCGCGCCCCTGAGCAGGGCGGGAGTGGGGCGGGGCCGCATCTCCAGGGGGTCGAGCCGCCGTTGGGGACGGGGTCGCATTTCAGTAAGAGAGGCCTAGCTGCTTGGGTCTTCTGCCGGGGCGGGAAACGCAGGTCCCTGGAAGAAAGGCGGTCTTCGGGGTGGGGGTCCCCTCAGAGTCGCGCGGGGAGCCCAGGCAGCGGCGGGGTTCGCGCCCTGCCCCTGGGAGCAGGCCCTCGGCGCATGGAACCGCTGAGCCCCGTGTCCTCCCGGGGACCCTGACTTGCTGTCGGAGGGAGTTGCGTTTCGCGCCTTGCTGGCAGAGGATGTGGCGTACACCTTTGCGGCAGTCGAGACTTGCTAACAATATAGAATACTATAGCTGAAAAAAATTCACCCTGACGGGGCCGAGCGCGGTGGCTCATGCCTGTAATCCCAGCACTTTGGGAGGCCGAGGTGGTCGATCACGAGGTCAGGAGTTCGAGACGAGCCTGGCCAGCATGGTGAAACCCTGTCTCTAACACCACAAAAAATTAGCCGGGTGTGGTGGTGTGCGCCTGTAATCCCAGCTACTCAAGAGGCTGAGGCAGGAGAATTGCTTGAACCCGGCAGGCGGAGGTTGCAGTGAGCTGAGATCACCCCACTGCACTCTAGCCTGGGCGACAGAGCAAGACTCTGTCTAAAAAAAAAAATAAATAAAAATAAAAATAAAAAATTCACCACAGCCTGGGAGTCCAGGGGTTGGGTCTCAGTGTCTCCACTCAATGGCTTGGTAGGTAGCGGTGTCCTTTCCCGCTTTGAAGTCCGCAGAGTCAATGGGTGTCTTCCTAACCAGCCCCGAGAAAGATAAGCATAGCTGCTTCTTGGTTTTGAAGGAACACATTCCCCTGTCTATATTTGTCTGGAGCCCACTAGTGAATTTGGGGAGGAGGCCGGTTCCCAAACACAGAGTTTGGGCTGCAGGAACTTCAGTGATTATGGCAAATTGGCAGGTGCGGGGATTGCTTATGAATTTCTGTTATTGGTCCCAGCAGGAGTTTTTAATTCACACAGCAAACCGTTGGGTGCAGTGGAAACAGCACCTTTCTGGGAGTCCATTCTGATATGTCCCCATCCACAAAATGAGGGCCTCCGGCTAGCTGATCCAGGCGGCCCCTCCCAGTGGAGAACTCTGATTGTCCTACCTCCCACTTTCAAAAGCTTGGAGAATGAACTCATTTTTTCAACCTTTCCACACCTTGGGTTATTATAAAATCAGCCACATACTTCCTATGGGTGTATTCATTTGAACTTTTTATTATGTTATTTTATTTTCTCTTCCCTGCCTTAGTTTGGCAGTGAAACGAAAATTGGAAATGGAGGCAGGAGCGCAGCTGGAAAAGGCTGGTTTGGGAGGCAGAAAAGTGCCTACTCCGGGCTTAACATCATCACCCAGAATTTTTCCTTTCTCTGCACCAAGTTCAAGGTATGCCAGCACTGTGAGCCCAGGGGGAGAATTCTTTCCTCTGCTCCAATTGTGGGGCATCTGCAGTTGGTGTGGAGCAGAGGAAGAATGTGATTCAAGGAGCAGGTTATGGAAAACTTTCTTTCTGCAAAACATAACTTTTGAAGACTTACAAGCATAGTTTCCCTTCTTTGCTGGCGGTGTTTGGCAAAACAAACATAAAACCAGTTTTAAAATCAATTGTCAAAGCTAGGATAGGGATGACTTTTTTAGCTTTTGAAATAAAACCAGACAACAGAAGAAAACTCACAGAACAGATTTTTTAAAATTTGTTTTTACTATATCTTCTTTAAAGAGGATATCGAGAATCATGGACCAACCATCTCTGCATAATATTATCAGAAAGACTGAATCAGAATGTCAGATGCATCAAAGAAGCATTGGACGATCACTTAGTGTAGTGCCCTAAAGCCCAGAGAAGACACTGTCACCTATTAGAAAGGCAGGGAGAGGTGGTCATAGAGTGGAATAAGCTCACACTCCCCAGCACACCTTAGGCAGACCACTGTGTTTGCAGGGGGAATGTGTGCACCCCACACTCGTCCTTGCTCTTCCTACATCTGGCCAGACTCGAGCCATTAGCTGTCCTGATTGGCTCAGCTTTGCTGTGGTTCTCTTCACCACTGTCCATCTGTTCATTGATAACATTCACATTTCAACCATGATTTCAGGAACCACAGGACTTCTTGGAGGTTCTTAGGGACTGGTGTTGGGAGGATAGGAATGCCAAGTGTGGATCAGCGAACCAACTCCAGCTGTACTTGGAGTTGCTCTGCTTTTTTGTTTTTGTATACTTTTATGTTTGTTTTGTTGTTTTTGCTGTTCTAGGTGAGGTTTTGTTTGGAGGAAAGAGTCTAATACTAAATCAAAAATTTAAAAATAATGGTAATGGCTAATATTTGTTAGTGCTTCTTGTGTCTTAGTTCATTTATTACATGTAAAATGCTTAGAACTGGTTGGTTGTGGTTCGAGTAAGCACTCAAATGCCAGCTGCTGCTGCTATTATTAATATTACCTTCTACTGTGAAGTAGTTGTTGTTTTTTATCCTCATTTTAAGAAACCAAGTCACACACAAACTTGTACAAGGCTACCCACCTCCCATGTAGATGTGTCTGCCAAATGAAAGTTGTATTCCTTGATATCCTGGATTTTGTTAATCCAAAGCTAATCAAGTAGGCGCAACTGTACGTATGAAGCAGATGTTTCTGAGCCACCATAAGCAGCCTTTGGCTTATTCCCATGGACAGTTGCAGGTAATCACTAGGCAGGCAGGTGAATTTACCTGGTGAGAACTTCTGTGTTCAGAAGGAGAGTAGGCAAATGGAATTGTTAATGACCCAATGATTGGGCGGGTGGCAAAAGGAGCAATGAGAACTGTGGGTGCAAGCATTCCTTCAACATGTACTGTCAAAAGTGTGCTGAGAATTGTGAGCTTATTTTAGAACAAGTACCTTCAAGGTCTTTACTCTCAAGGAGGAAAAGGACGAGTATAGGGGGCCCTGGTGGTGGACAGTGTGTGCCAAGGAGAAGATGCCTGAGCAGCTGTGGTCCTTCCCATGCTAGTTAACTGTCAAGATAAATATTTCCCTTCTTTAAAAAACAGTTTGAGGGCTGTAGGGGAAAAAGAAACACTGCAGTTAAAGGCACCCACAGCAGAACGCCTAAAACCAAATGGTCCATACTTGTTTGTTTGTTTTTTTCTGGCCACTTGTTTGTCCTATTATTATACTTCTACTCTTACATTCTGTGAGATTAAATATCAAATGGAATGTAACTTTTGGTACCAAGTATTTTATCTCAGTAGAAAGTCTTGATTGGGTATAATTATTAACTTGAAAATGACCTTTTCTCTGGCTCAGGTCTCAAGGTAGAGTTAGCTTCATCTGGGAGGCCTTGGCTGGCTCCCTGGCCTGGAGTGGGTGCTCTCCTATGTGCCTATAGCACCCAGTGCTTGTCCCTGTCACAATAACAGTTGGCATTTGGATTTTCCTGAGGGTGCTAGACATGACCATAGATAGTCTTATATATAATCTTTACAATCACCACTCTGTGATGCTCACAATAGCTACAGAACTTGCTCATGGCTATCACTAAGTAAGTGGTGGCCAGGGTAAGCCCTGGCATGGGACTCCACTCATAACAGATTCTTTTTTTTTTTTTGAGACGGAGTTTCACTCTTGTTACCCAGGCTGGAGTGCAATGGCGTGATCTTGGCTCACTGCAACATCCGCCTCCTGGGTTCAAGCAATTCTCCTGCCTCAGCCTCCCGAGTAGCTGGGGCTAGAGGCGCGCACCACCATGCCCAGCTAATTTTTGTATTTTTAGTAGAGACGAGGTTTCACCATATTGACCAGGATGGTCTCGATCTCTTGACCTCGTGATCCACCCGCCTCGGCCTCCCAAAGTGCTGGGATTATAAGTGTGAGCCACCGTGCCCAGCCAACAGATTCTTAACAATCTGCCTGCTTCTGTCACCTGAAACAGAGTTTCTGGCTTCTACCTGAGAGTTCTCCGTAGTTTCCAAGGTTACCTCATCACATTGAAGCTGTTCTGAATTAAGGTTGGGTTAACATTTGTATACTATTGTTACTGTTTGAGACAACTCTTGCAGGTCTGGGTACAGGAGAAAGAGATTATGAAGAAGTTTTTGTTACTAGGCTAAAACTTCCTAGCTTAGTGGTTCCCCATACATGACTATTAAAGTCTATTTAATTTTTAGAGGAATTATTGGATTAGCATATTCAGTTAGTAAATCTTTCCATTCTGCCCTGTCCATTTGAGTCCTCTCGTACATGTTCAGCTACTTTGGTAAGACAATCTGTTTTCAGAATGAGGTTGCATGCACATTTATCTGATTTGTAATTAATTTAATGGAAGAACATTTAAATGGTACTTCTAATTAAATCAATGGAAAAAAGTTTTTGTATATGTTCTCATTTTCCAATAACCTTTTATAGTAGCATTAGTCCATTTTTCTACTTTCCCATTTAATTGGAGCCAGAATAGACAGGTGGCGTGGTATTTAAGAGGATGATAAAATGTTTATGTTCATTTCTAGAAGACAAAAGCCTATTGCCTTTTAGTATTGTTGCTGGGATTCCTAGACAATAAACAAAAATCCCAGAAACTGTAGCACATAAGATGCTATGCTTGGTGAATCTCTAAATTAAGAATTTAATAGTAAATATTTTATTGTTTATTTAACCATGTTACTATGTTGTTGAGTCTGTGAAATTATTGGATAAATAGACACCAAGTTATTTAAAATACATCAGCTCTTTCTCCTCTTGCCATATTATTGGTTATTAATGAATATTAGGGTTAGTCTTCTAACAGGGAGTGATAATGTAGTTGG